TCCACCCTGCGTCCGCCTATCGCCGGAACAGGAGCGCTAGTGCCCGCCGATCCGACTCCGGCCGCTCGGGCTCTCGTCGGCGAGACCCGCCCCCGACTCCGGACAGGGGTGCCGCACGCGGTCGACGCCCGCACGCCGACGAGCGGGCCTGTCCGCACGGTCAACCAACCACCGCCGGTGCGGTCGTCGCGGTCACCCCAGGGCATGCGTCGCCAGCGTGCAGCGCTGTGGTGCGCGAACGCCTCCGGCCTCACCGCCTTGGCCGAGGCTTGAGCCAGCCTCGCGCGGACGTGGCCGACGTCCGAGTTTGCGGCCTGGTGTCTTGACGCGCTGCCCAGGTCCGGCTATCAGCGCTGCATCGTGGTGGGACCGGCTCAGCCCTCTGGACACCTGACGCCGGCGCGGAGACGTGCGCGAGCGTTGCTCCCGGCTGGAGCCTTGCACATCGACGTCGACGGTCTGTCTTCGCCCGTAAATAAACTGTACGCAGCCGGTGGACATAAGCTCAACTGCTGCGAGACGATCACATGTGACGTGGCCTCAAGCGCGAACACAGCTGCCGTGACTGTATGTCATGCAGGGAATCGACAGCGCTCTGCTCTCATGACATGAACCCATCCCCCTCCGTATACTGTCGCCGTATACAGTACATCTCGGTATACTGTCGCCAAACCTCCCTGTCCACCTCGTGAGCATCACCACCAGCTCCGCCGCTACCGCCCCTGCGCGGCCAGCCCCTTCGCCGCCAGCCCAGGTGCCACAGTGTGACGTCAGTATCGTCCAGCGGGATGCGATGCCACGGCTGACGGCCGGCAGCACCTCGCCGGGCACGCAGTGGGCGGTGCCGCACGCCTCCCACGCATATGATGCACTAGCTAACAGAACACGCACAGAATCGGTCTTCTGACCCCGTCAGTTGCGCACGTGAGCCGTTCCGTCACTGGGACCGGGCTCTCGTGGAGCCCTTGCGGAAGGAACGGGCAGCTCACCTCGCGGCATTCAAGGAGGTCTCCCCGTGCGCTGCCAGCACGGCCTCGCCACTTGGTGAGAGGCCTAGCGTCCCGGCACGCATCGCACTGACGGACGACGCTCGTCCGCATGCATTCGCGGCAGCGCAACCCATCCCGTTCGCGTGGTTGGATGACATCCGTCGGCAGTTGGATGAACTCCTAGAGCGGGGTGCCATCGCTCCTGCCGACTTCCTCACCAGATGGTGTCATCCCATCGTTCCGGTGGCGGAGCGAGCCGATCCTGCCGGCAGGAAGGGATCGTCAGCCCGCCTGACCGTGGACCTGACCCGGCTGAACAAGACCGCTTGGTGGGGCGGCCCGCCGGTGCGCACACCGCAAGACAAGGTCCCCAGCATCGGGGTCGGTGCGCGCCACTTCATGAAGCTCGATCTGCTTGATCTGATCTCGAAGCCCGGTCTGGCTTCTTCCAGGTGCCACTCGGCCGCCGTGACCAGGAGCACGTCATTCGCGTCTTGAAGCGGTGTGACGCAGCAGGCATCACGCCGCACCCCGGGAAGCTGCTCTTCGCCGGGCCATCCGTCAGTTACTGTCACTACGACGTGACCGCCGACCGCTGTACAGTCCACCACCGGAAGGTCAAGTCCAGTGTTAAGTTACCCACACTGGTCAGCATCACCGGCCTGCGCAGCTTCATGGGACTGATGAATCAGCTGGGCGCTGTCTCGTCAGATGCTGCACTGGCAGCCGCGCCGTTGCGGAGCCTGCTCCCACCGCCGGAGCCCCGGAACACGTGGATGTGGACTGAGACTCGCTCCCGACCCTGCGGAGCCTGCTCCCACCGCCGGAGCCCCGGAACACGTGGATGCAGACTGAGACTCGCTCTCGATCCTGCGGAGCCTGCTCCCACCGCCGGAGCCCCGGAACGCGTGGATGTGGACTGAGACCCGCTCCCGACCCTGCGGAGCCTGCTCCCACCGTCGGATCCTCGGAACGCGTGGATAGGGACTGAGACCCGCTCCCGACCCTTCGAAATCGAGAAAAAAGACGCTCATTTCACCTCCAGTACTCGCGTTCTTCGACCTGCAACGGCCCACCGCCCTGCAGGCCGACTACTCTCGACTGCACGGCCTGGGGTACACTCTGCTGCAACGTCATGGCGAACAACGGTGGCTGGTTCGGCGCGGCTTTCGATTCAGCCCGGTCGCGGAATCCCGCTACGCCGTCATCGAGCTCGAGCTGCTCGGCATGACGTGCGCCGTCCAAGAGTGTTGTCTGCTTCCTGCTGGTCTCTCGTCCTTCGATGTTCTCAAAGACCACCGTGCACTGGTGCACATCCTCAATCAGAGACCCCTGCCGGCGATCGACACCCCGCGGCCGCGTTGTCTGCGCATGAAGCTCCTCGCGTACAGCTTCGCCACAGCCTGGCAGTCCGGCAAGCACCACGGCATACCAGACGCTCTCTCCAGAGCCTGCGCGGACGACCCCCCCCCCCCCCTACGGATGAGCAGATCGCTGAAGAGGACGTTACCCATCAGCTCCACAGCCTCGTCGTGCGCACTGTGACCCAACTCTGTCCAGACGGAGTCCGGGTGCTTTCCATCACACCCTCCACCTCACCGTGCGGGTTGAGACTTATTTTACATGTTAGGAGAGGCCCCCGTGCAGACGAATGAAAACAAAAGGCATGGTTTTTTGTGTGTGGAGTCGGGGGCGGCGCAGGAGGCAGGGAAGGAAGGGAGGTGGGAACAGGGGCAGGAAGCGCGGGAGGAAGGCCGTTGTCCCTTGCCGGCAGGCATGGGACGAGAGAGAGAGAGAGAGAGAGAGAGAGAGAGAGAGAGAGAGAGAGAGAGAGAGATATATATATATATATATATATATATATATATATATATATATATATATATATATGCCGAATTTATTTACGAGTTGTGGTATGAGTAGGAGGAGTAGAAATAGGTTGCTGTGAGAGTTCATTTGCCCTCTTCCCGTCCAAACTCAGCAAGCTCTTTGAAAAGTAACGCTCAGGAGCCCCATCCCCTCCCCAGTCTGTGAGGAGGCCTCATTTTGTCTCCAAGGGGACCGAATAGTAAGTCGCACATTCAGTGAACATTTGCCCCCGTGATTTGCTGTCGGCCTGCACACCTGACCGGCCTCGGTGCGTCCGGGCGCGGACGGCCGGCCAGCAGGCGCGGCGGCCTGCTGCGGGCGCGAGGAGAGCCGTCTGCACCGGCCGGCCGCCGCCCGCTGGGCGCTGCTGCACCCGGAGGTGGAGCGCAAGCACTGCCAGCACGGTAACCGAACCCAGTCCACGGCGTACGCGCCTGGCCCGAACTCCGTCCGCCGCCGTCCGCTCAGATCGAGCCTCTCTGACGTCCGCCCGCTGAGCCAGCGCTCGTGTGGTTACCATCCGCTTGGATCGTGCTCTTCCGATGCTCGTCGCCTGGCTGACACTCCTTTGATTGTCGTCTGCTTGGTGTGGTATCACCTGCTTGGATCGCACTCTTCCGATGCTCGTCGCCTGGCTGACACTCCTCTGACTGTCGTCTGCTTGGTGTGGTTACCATCCGCTTGGATCGTGCTCTTCCGATGCTCGTCGCCTGGCTGACACTCCTCTGACTGTCGTCTGCTTGGTGTGGTGTCACCTGCTTGGATCGCGTTCTTCCGATGCTCGTCGCCTGGCTGTCACTTCTCTGACTGCCGTCTGCTTGGTGTGGTATCACCTGCTTGGATCGCGCTCTTCCGATGTTCGTCGCCTGGCCGGCGCTCCTCTGACTGTCGTCTGCTTGGCTTGGTATTACCTGCTTGGATCGTGCTCTTCTGATCTTCGTCGCCTGGCTGGCATTATTCTAATCATCACTTGCTTGGATGGTGATCTTCAAATGGGCGTACATCCGTGCTGATGTATGCTCTTCGACGCGTGGCTGAAGCGCTTGGAATTGGAATTGCGATGATGGACGGTGTCGGTCTCTGCCGCGTGCTGCCATTCTTATCATTCGTGCTTGCGCATGAGGGTTGCGGAGCAAGCGCTGCGCAGCGGGCGAGGATGCACGCGCATCGTGCTTTATGTCCATGAGAGCACCTGGCTGTTAATGTGTAGGGTGACTCGTAAAATCTACAGAGCTCCTATGCACCCATGAAGCAAATAGATGTAGGCCGGGCTGAACTAGATTGTTAATAAAGGATGGTGAATGTTTTGAAAACGTGGCTAATGACTGTTAAGGCAGTGAATCTGTCGAAGACTGAAGCTCATATTTAACTGACGCTGGGCTAGATCGCTCCATGACAAGTTGGGCTTATACTTGGATAGGTTGCTTAGTGGCTGTCGTGATGTGTCCAGTGGTTATTTTCCCTTTTTACCCGATGGATGCACAATGCAGCAGTGCGGTGTACGGAGACTTGTGGTGATTTTCATGACGGCTCATTTTGCTGAAATACTTCCTGATGACACAAGTTTTCTTTAAGCAACAGTGGCCCCAATTCTTGCAAGCCTCACACCGTGTAAATATTTCCAAAAGCTTGGAATTAATCACAACGATGATGCACGCATAAAAATTCTGGAAAACTGTCTTTTGGGTCAGCCTCCCCATCACAATGTTCGTGAAGCTCCCTTTTGCAACTCTCCTCCTTTAGAAGATCACAAAACGCTTGAACAGACAAAGCCTTTCCGTCGCATATCTCGTGCAAACCCTAACGTATGCGACAAGGATCAGTATTCGCGTGGCCAGCTATTGTGGAAACAAGCCATCTGTGTCATCAGGATGTTTCACATCATGCTCCATGCATACATCCAAGGCTAGGCAACAGGTCATTCAAAACGGTGACAAAAAACAATACTTGACTATTTATTATTTGGTTATCAGGCGATTACTAGTTTTGGCGTAGTACAAGGAGTCTGAGCCCCACCAAGTTCCATGCCGCGTTCGGCCTTGATTTTTGTTGATATGGTAGCTGACCGCTCACAACTCTGCGGTGGTCGGACTCGGCATCATGGACTAACGGACTTTCTGACATAGGGTTATCCCTTTCCAGGAACCTTGTCGCCCAGCTCGTCTGGACATCTTGTGCACCAGAACGCCCTATCAGCAAACACCTACAGTTTCGGAAATCAGTCGAGCCAGGTGAGCAGGGGCGCTGGGTGGGCGAAGCCAATCTAACTGTCAGATGAGCTATAATGATGGATGTTTACCCATTGCAATCAATCATTCAGTGACATACATCGTGAAGCGATTCGGTCGTCCCTTCTCTACCGGCCGACGGTCAGCCCGTTCTCCCCCTCTCGCTCGGGTGCTGCCCCTGAAGAATCCGCATCCCCCGCCCCCCTCCCCGCAGCAGCTGACCGGTCTGCTGCCGTCTCCACTGACTCGGCCTGCTTCCTCTCTCCCTGGGGTGCTGCCTTTGACGGAGCCGCATCCCCCGCAGCACCTGACCGGCCTGCTGCCTTCTCCACTGACTCGGCCTGCTCCCCCTCTCTCTGGGGTGCTGCCTCTGACGGAGCCGCATCCCCGCAGCAGCTGACTGGTCTGCTGCCGGCCGGAGGGCACCACACAGCCGAGCCCGCCGGCTCCCAGATGTTCCCCAGCATGTCCGTCAACGTCAGCATGAACATGAACATCGGCGTGTCGTCCGGATACCAGCTGCCGGACGAGTCCTTCGCGCACCAGGTGACAGCGTGAACGCGCTTGACATGCTTGTCCTCATGGACCACGCGTTGAAGGCACGCGGGATGACGTGATATGTGATCGTGAATAGGATACTGTTCGACAAGACTGTTCCGCGTGCCAATCACCGGTCTCGATAGCACGGTGAGCGGTGAGCGTAGAGCGATGGGTGCCGGAACACACGTGCGCTGAGACCTGCGGCACGGACTGAGTCTGGAGATGGCGGTGTGAAGGTGACGCGTGCCGCTTTGTTCCGCAGCTGCCGTGGAGTGGCAGTCCGCCCCAGTACCCGTCCGGCATGTTCAGCCCCCAGCCGCCCCTAGTCAGCCCTCTCTCCATGTCGGCCAGGTGAGCAGCCACGTCGCTGGTGCGCCTGTGCACGGATGCATTCTGAACGGATCACATGACTTATTTTGCCTTCCCTACACGCCCCAATGTAATTTCCTTCAGTCAAGTCATGACCATGACGTACATCAGTGCAGTGTATTGTTTCGTATCCAACGACCAATCGCAACGTGCCCATCACGCTTCGAAATCTGCTCCGAAAGGCACTTGACAAATGAACAAACGAATGCCTGTGCGGGATCCGAACTCAGCAGTCCTGCCCATTCTCATCATTAGGTGGTCTTGGAATCACCAGTGCAGCATTCAACATGCGCCTTGTCTGCTCGGGGTAAGAGCGTTAATGACTGTGCGGATCTTACCCAGTGCCGGGTGCGCCGTTTGCTCAGTGCGCGGCCGCGTTACGGGCTACGCCCTGTAGGCCTGGCGGGCCGGGCCGGTGGCAGCTGGGAACGGGTCAGAGCCGCGCGCGGCCGCATTACTGGCTGCACCCTGTCGGCCTGGCGGGCTGGGCCGGCGGCGGCCGGGGGCGGGTCAGAGCCGTGTGCGGTAGCGTCGGCGGTCCACGGGTGCACACCAGGGGCTTCCCGCCGGCTCCCTGTGGCGAGTCATCGGTCGGCTTATGTTCCCCGGCGCGTCGGAGCCGCCGACATGTGCTTGTCCTGATGTCGGAACTGGACGCGAACATTGGCTGCCCCATGTCATCAGCTTCGAGGCTGTGCGCACACGTTGCAACTGGGCTGGGGAACTGGTATGGTAAAACTCAACACTTGTTACTTCTTACCAATACTCGTTCTGCAGAATTTTGGATCACGTCTATTTTACACAGTTTATTCCGTTACACCCATAAGTCAAACGGACGTCATAGTGTTGCTGCGCCAACACCGTGTCGTTTGTCAAGCGAAGTAACTACAATAGTCAGTGGCTTCAACGATGCACGTTTCCTACCGCTGAGGTGTCTACGCGAGATAAAACTGCACGCCTGCGGGGAGAGGCGTATGCCACGTCATTATTAGATGCGACCGTCTCCGCACATGTGCACCTCAGATAAAACGGTTGAGGAAGGACCAACTCACACAACACGTTGCGTGTGATTGCATCACAGAATTGTCCTTACGAAAGAGGCGTCATCGCATCAGAGATCGTGCCCGGAACACCATTTGTTGCTTTTCGCGTTTCAGTTTGCACAGCCGGTGTCGCGCGCGCCGCGGGGGTTCGGGGGCACGCGCGTCCCAACTGGGACCGGACCCAGTGCAGTTCCGGGCGGGCTGCGGACATGTCCCAGGCGGTGGTCGTCCGCGATTTCAGCCACACTGTTATCAATCTAACGGAAATTCAAGCCGAGCATATATAAATGTGGCCGTTATCTGGAGCGTGATGCAAGCGCAACCGCAGCCACTGGGTCCATGGCGGGTCAGCTGCGCGCGTCACACCCTGAATTAGGGGCACCTGTTTTGTTCTGATTTTTATAAACTTAGTCCGATAATTTTGACTGGATGCATTTCTGGAACAAAGTTCGCGGCAAGCGGTGCTTACTGAGTGAACCCTGACCCCACCATCTTGCGGAGAAATTCCAGTTCAACAGCAGACTTTTATGGTGAGAGTTAAACATGTCACAAAAGAAGAAAGAAAGCTGCACGTGCTGCACGGTCTGCCCCGCCCCCTGACGTTATCTGACCTTGAGCGATCACTGCCAACGGTCGCAGGCCATCCTTGTCAGGGACAAATGGTGGGCTCTGGAGCAGCTTGAACTCACCCACTCCGTCACGTGCAGAATGGGAGAGGGGCGCTCCGACCCGTTGAGCTCGGGAGGCGGACTTGAGCCTGAGACGTGATGTGAAAGTATTGTGGCAGTCTTATGGCAGTCCTGAGCCGTGATGTGGCAGTCCTGTAGCAGTCCTGTGGCAGTCCTGATCCGTGATGTGGCAGTCCTGTGGCAGTCCTGAGCCGTGATGTGGCAGTCCTGTGGCAGTCCTGAGCCGTGATGTGGCAGTCCTGAGCTGTGATGTGGCAGTCCTGTGGCAGTCCTGAGCCGTGATGTAGCAGTCCTGTGGCAGTCCTGAGCCGTGATGTGGCAGTCCTGTGGCAGTCCTGAGCTGTGATGTGGCAGTCCTGTAGCAGTGCTGAGCCATGATGTGGTAGTCCCGTAGCAGTACTGAGCCGTGATGTGGCAGTACTGTTGTAGTCCTGTGGCAGTCCTGAGCCGTGCTGTGGCAGTCCTGTAGCAGTCCTGTGGCAGTCCTGAGCCCTGATGCGGCAGTACCCTTAACCTGGCTGCGACAGCATGCTTGGCCATGGACGATGCGCCACCCGAGCTGCGACTGCATTGTGACGGCTGGCGTGACCCAGACAGGCGTGGTGATGCGAATCGTGTCATTTCCCGTGACCGCTGTCTTGACTGGTGCTGTGACCTGGACCGTGACCGAAGTGCGGTCTGTGACCTTGAGTGGTGCCGTTGATTGCTACCGTTGAATATGAACGACTGGTTGGAAGCCATGAGCGAGGGTGGAAGGGACAGCCCTCCTCCATCTAATGAAAAAGTTAACATGAGCCCCACGACGTTGCCCGAAGGGGCAAAAACTACGTTTAACTTCCCCACACCCCAAACTCCTTGAAGGTTTCACCGCCCTGCCGTTGACCATCCGCGCTGATGTCGTCGTCAGTTCGTCGGCCGTGCCGTACAGCACGTCGGCCAGCTACGCCTTCACGGCCGACCTGCGGCCGGAGGCCAGCTGGACCCATGCCGAGCGTAGCCAGCAGCTGGCCGCCTCCTTCCGCAGTCTGCGGCGCGTCGACGGCGCCAGCTACGGCTCCCACCTGGACGAGTCGCTGCTGTACGTCTGCAAGACCGAGTCGCCGGCGCTCGGCCAGCTCGACAAGACCAATATCTGCAGGTGGGGTCCGACCCGCTGCTCCGATCGCCCTACGGCAACCTGATCACCCGCCAGGAAAGCAGCCATTTTGCTTAGCTCGTTTATGCGCAGTTACCGCATCGTTACTAGAGCTTTTTAGGAATCACCGCGATTGAATTTCCCTCAACTGTTTGCTCAACGCAGCGCTTGTAGCTAATTGGCGCCTTGGGAATTAATTGGTGCTGGGAACTTGGCCGTGTAGAGGTTGTGGTTCCCGTGGTCATTGCCATATCCATTGGGGTTACTTTGCTCCTCTCGGGTAAGCAGCAACCTTGCATCATAAAACAGGATGAGTTCCTTTTGGTTGAATTGATGGCCACCAACAGCATTGCAGGGTTGGAAAATGGACAAAGCGGGTGCCATTTTCAAGAAGTCTCAACAGTTTGACACAAATATTTGGCATAGGCAGCCGCACCTTGCTGGAGGAGAGTAAAGCCTAAGAGGCGGCGGTCGTCATTGGCAGTGGCGTAAGCAGGAGTCTACTCAAGAGCGGGCCAAGTCGGGTCATCAGAGAGTATTTCAGCTAATGGGGCCACTTAGACGCTATAGGGACCCAATTCACATTGGGGACTCTTTTAGACTCAGGATCCCAGTCTAATGCCCCGAGAGCCCGTTCTTGTGTGTCAGCAGCTCCTCAACATGCGTATTGCCAAAAAGTGTTCGTGCATTCGGCCCAGGTGTCCCCGCCACCCCCGGAAGGGGAAGGGGGGGGGGGGGGTATGGTCCCAGAGGCGTCCTTGACTTCACCACTGGTCGTTGGTTCATCTTTATTTCTAGTCTGAACCATGTCCTATCACGAAGGCGTAACCGTGTCCCATGCAGAATTTCGCGATTGGAAGGGGGTCAACTCAAAGCTCTGCACTGAAAATCCTGTTTGGAGCCCTGCAATATTAACATTCATTCGCACACATATTAATGCACAGAGTAAATTTGAACGGGGGAGGCACGTGGCCTTGGAGGCCATGTGCGTGTGCCGCTGCCCATCACATTCCCAGTCCTCTGTGCCACTCTGAACCCATGTCAAAGCCCCGCGTCGCTCCGCAGGGTATGCGGTAAGGCCTACGCTCGACCCAGCACGCTCAAGACCCACATGCGCACCCACAGCGGCGAGAGGCCCTACAAATGCCATGAGTGCAACAAGTCATTCTCACAGGTAGGAGAGCCCTCACCGGTGTCGAGGACACTTATGGCATGCTCACGCACCTGTTGATGGCTTCCTGTTGTCGGGAAGCTTTTGAAGTTCCGGATGATTGATGAGCGTAGCTTGCGGAGGGTCGGGAGGGGAGGTTTCGACGCACCGGGACACTCTTCGTATGCTCTTCGTGCTTTGTATTCATCTTGGTATGCGTTTGCATTTCGTATTCGTACTCTTCATCAGGCATAGTTTTTTTGTGTCTCCTGCCGCAACTTGAATGCCTTTTTGGGGCTGGTAAGTCACGATATTTCAAGCTTGTAAGGCTAAGGTGGTACTCTTGCGCTCGTCTTCTACCAGTGGCAAACTGTAGTGCGCCGCTTTCAATGTTTAAGGAAATTTCGTAATTTTTGTGCTGTATAGCATCAGGCTTATGCTGCTCTCTAATGTCCCAGCGCAACAAAATGCTGCGAATGTTTCATTCCCATCAGTGTAACATCATGCAAGCAATAATAACTCAATTGTGTTTTTGCCGCTGAAATTCAACTAACTAATGCACACATATCACGCATTGCAGCGCACAAGCGCACTTGTATTCGTTGTTATTACGCAGTTCACGTCTGTAGTGTTGTATTTGTTTATCTTAGGAATATTCTAGGCCAATTTTGAAATGTTATGCAGCCGTATTTGATTTTATCAATGTTATGTACCCATAAAGGCTATTAGTATTATATCCGTATGCAATTTAATATCATGAGCATGCGAATAGTATGACTTTATTATATATGGTACACATTTATTTATTTATTCACTTGTGTTTGATATCTGATGCGTCGGACCTTTCTACTACCGCTGCTGACTGCTGCCTTGTGTTGATGTTAGCTGCTGTGCTCCCAGGCGGCGAACCTGACGGCGCACGTGCGGACCCACTCTGGCGAGAAACCGTTCTGCTGTCCGATCTGCGACAGACGCTTCAGCCAGTCCTCGTCCGTCACCACCCACATGAGGACTCACTCTGGGGACAGGCCGTACAGGTGCGTCGGTCACTGCAGCGCTAACAAGCTGGCTTCCAGCAGGAGGCGCGTTTTTAAGGAGTTGTGGCGCACAAAAATTTTCAACTTTTGTTCTTCTTATAAAAACAGCAAATTGCCATTGTCGAAGCAACTTCTCAGCCCAACCAACGCCGAAAAGTTGAGATGTCGCTATGCTTACGTTCTGACTTCAGCTGACAGATAAAACGTGGCCATAAGGAAATTACGACTGCCCGGCCGAACGCACACGTCACCCACAGCACCCATGCCGGGACCAAAGCCTTGCAAAGTTAACAACTCCGCTCCTGGATCCTGCTCTGATGAATGTCGGTCGAGCAGTCATCAAACATTGCGGTGGAATTACAACCACATGACGCTTTGTTGCGCCTGGAACAAAAACAAAACACACTACACATCATGTGTATAAAAATCATTATTCCGGCCGCAAAGCGATCCGCAGGCTGGATCGAACCAGCCAGCGAGAACAGACCAGCGTGCCACACTTCAGCACAGTCTGGTTCCTCCCGCGTGGAGATGACTCGTAGGCAAGTTCTCGTTGGTGACCGTCACACCCGTTCCAGATGTCGCCTCTGCAAGAAGTCGTTTAGCGACTCGTCAACGCTCACCAAGCACATGCGGATACATAGCGGCGAGAAGCCGTACCAGTGCCGCATCTGCATGCTGCGCTTCTCGCAGTCGGGCAACCTGAACCGGCACATGCGCGTGCACGCGTCCAGCGTCTGTTGACGGCGAGGACGGGCCCTGTCACGCGTCGGCTCGCGGGTCGCGCCCTCCCACGCCCCGCACGGACTGACTGCCGGCCGACCTGGCAGCTCAGCGGCGGTGTAACCGCATCGGGGGAGGGTCGGCGCGCTCCGACAGTAGCGAACGGCGACGGGCGGCCATCTTCTGACAGGCGTCACCCGGCGGCTCGATTTACCGCCGCGCGGCCGTCAACGACTGTCTGTCGTGGTCGCGTGCTCGCTGGGGAGCAGCCGTTGCTTCTGAGCGAGCGCGCCTCGGCAGGAGGGCTCGTGGGCCGCTCGTGGTCGCTCAGGAACAGTCGCTGCTCCGGAGTGAGAGCTCCTCGGCAGGAGGGCCTGTGTGCCGCACATGGCCGCTCAGGAGCCGGCGCTGGTCCCGAGCAAGCGCGCGCCGGCAGGAGGGCTCATGGGTGGACCGTGCATGGTGCCGCCGGAGCTTTGCGGGGGCTACCCCTGCAGTCCGGCTCTGAAGCGCGGCCACTGGGCCGCTGTCCGGAGTGCTCTCAGGCGCGAGCACTGGGCCGCTGTCCGGGGTGCTCGTCTAGTCGAAGGCACTCCCGCAGGTCCGGCCGTGCTGTGATACTGGGCGTGGCCGCCGGTCCCGCGCCGACCGGTGCGGGCCAGAGACGCCACGTCGTCTGACTCGGCCCGGCGGATCCGATCCCGGCCGCCCGATCCGATCCGATCCGATCCGATCCGATCCGGTGAAACGCTCAACATTACCACGTCTAGTCGCTCGAAAGCGGGCCGCTTTACCTTTACCAAACCACTGCGCCGCGAGAAACCGCGCGTCTCGGATGTATTGACGTCCAGCTAGTGTGCGTGTGTGCACGTGTGTGTATGTGCGTGTCCTTGATCAGTGTAATATACGTCGTCACATGTCGAGCGTGACCTGATGTGGTGACCCGATGATTAGACCAGAGGCTAAGCCATTTGTATCTTCGTGACGTCAACGGCCGTCAACTGGCTCTCAATTACTGATGTGCAAAGCACGGTGACGTAATCAAACAGTGACGTATTCAGATGCGTCTTTACTAAACAGAGAAACTGTGTTGCCTTTCCACTAAAAGTAGAGCAATAGTTATAAGTGAGCATCATGCCAAGTGAGAATCATATATGATGCTTACTGAAATGTCGTCAACTGTGGAACATTTCCTTTGACAACGGCGAATAAAATAGTGAAAAGCTTGTTCACCATCAGCATGCGTGACTCGAAGCAGAAAGTCGACCCATGGCATTGAAACCATGTGTGGACTGGGCGCTGACGGCGCTCCAGTGCTGTCTTCAAGGACAGCTCACCTGAAAGGGAAGAGTGGAGGCAAACCGATAGACAGAAATATGTCACACGAGCATATCTCGCATTTGACTTTCTTTATGGGAGTCGAGGCAGCTGCAGAAATATTTAGTTGCGCAATTAGGGGGAGCCGCTGCGAACCGAGCTGGGGCGGGATGGCGTCGGCAGCGTGGATTAAGACAGGTCTGGGTCTGCTGATGTTTGGTCCTCCATTCCGAAGATGCCAAGAATCAGCCGCGACCCAAATGTAAACAAACCCCAGATACCAGCGTCAAACAACATAGGTGTCGCGGGTGTAAAGGCCACATCTTATGCAAATCATCACACTTTGTTCTGGACATAAAATTTGTCAATTAGAGCTTTCTCACGTGATGGAGTGGGTGACGGAGTGTGTGCCATGTCATTCTACCTTGTGACTCGGATGCATCCTGCATTTTAGGTAGCTTTGATGTAATGTTTTCGACGAAGTTCAGCGTATGGGAACCCGCCAGCCGGGATGAGAAAGAAATGACAAGCATGGATGCCACAGATGATTTGGCAGACCCTCTACTCATTACCGCGTTTAACGTCATTCCGCCGTGTCGTTAATTGTCTCGCGCGTTCATGCTCAAACATCGTCTTGGGTTAAGGGAGCGGGTAAAATAGTGGTGAAGCTGCGCATCTGAGAAAGCATTTGTACGGCGTTCGATTCCCGTTGAGCTCGTCCTTTTTGCCTGGATGAGAGACAGGCGACGCCATATAGCTTATACAGCTGAGTGTGTCGTTAAGCCTCAATGACAAGGACTAGGCGTGGTGTTTTCCGTGTTGAAAAAAATCCGCACCGTCTGGGGGAAAATTTGTGATGGCTTACAATACTTTAACTCGCCATCCTCTCCGTGGCAAGGGAGACACAACTTGATTTGAGGCACCCAAGACACTTCTCCGGACGTTTGAAAGTTCGCAGGCCGACGTCCCGTCTCCGGAGTCTCCGGTCATTTCATGAGCTTTTTGGAGCCCTACGCTCAGAGAGGTTCAGGACCTAGCTTTGTCGGCGTCATTTCCGTGGCTTTAGGCGTCAGGAGCACGGCGACATGTTTCATAGGTGATCCTAGACTACAATTTGCCAAGCCTCCTGGCAATTTAGCGTATTTAATGCAGTGTCATTCTTCGGACCATGAAGGTGTTCACTGGCTTTATAAGAGTTTCAGTCGACCTTTTACCGCTGCGTTGATGACTTGCCCGTCTGGCTCCATGAACGGTCATACTTCTCAGGTCGAGCGGCTGGCATGACGAGCAGGGACCACGAGACGGTGCCGTGGTTTTGGCGGGTCCGAGTATCTCGAGATAACCGCCGTCACATCAACACTGGGACCCTCAGATCGAGCGCCTGACATGATGAGCAGCGACCGATGGTGCCGTGGTTTTAGCGGGTCCGAGCGGCTCAAGATAACGGCCGTCACATCAACACTGGGACCCTCATCCACCAAATAAGATCGCCGGGGCGCCATCCCACATGGGTCGTTGGACACCGAAGGACCTTGAGAACATCTATGACCACTTGGCATGCCCGTTAAGTCATTTTACGCAGAGGTAGGCAAGTCGCAATTTTCTTTAAAATGTCATTACGTAAAGCTCATTGTCAACCCTTCCGTATCAACAAGCATTCGCTTCTGTCTGGAAGCCACATCAGACGTAGTCCACGCTCAGAATATGTTCGGCGCAAAGCCAAATTTCAGCGCATTTTCCAAACGGAACTGGGCGTCTGGCCAACTCCCCAGTCTGGTTTGCCCGTCGTTTTCGTCGCGACGGCCATCTTGCCCGCCGGCGCTCGCGCGCCAGTTAATCGTATCACAGGTAGCCACGGCCCCAGAACTAGGGCTTCGCCAGCACTCTGCGGGCTTCCTGTCAACAGCCCAGTCCTAATTAAATCAATAACTCCGCGCCAGTGTAGCCCACTGAAAATATATTGCTCTGCTGGGACAGAAGGCTGCACCTCGACGGCGCCGGTATCGGAAACGATAGGAAGCAAAAAAAAAAAAACGCACCCGTCGTGGATAGCTTCGTCTGATGATCACTTGTACCATGTAAACCCTTTTATCAAGGAAATGGAACCAAGTACAAGGGAAGAGGAACGAAAAGTTCTGCACACTCAAGAGAAGTCCGATGAAGCTCCAAATTGACGATATTGTCAGCGGTGGGCAAACGAACGCGAAAAGTAGAGGTGCCAAAACTCGTTCTGGCCACATTGTTTCCATGTGTTGCCATAGGAGCAACGTTTAAGCGGTTTCGAGCATTAGGCCAAGACTTCGAATCCCTGATTTAACATCTTTTGGTTACAATGTGTGCAGTTAGAAGTTTCCGATCTCGGAATCACGGTTTGTTGCCTCTATCTCGGGGCCATGTCAGTGACATTTTACTGAAGGGCGCCAAAGAACGCTCATTTCTCGCAGGACATGCACTCCCAAGGCGATTTCTAAACTGCTTTTTAAATACCTGCATCACCCTTAAGCGCATTGATATTGTTCGGCTGGCTTTTGAAAGATCAGGTCGTCCAAGATCAAGCTAGATCAAACTTAAAGATTTGGGACCGGACTGGACCGTTTGAAGGTCACATGCTTTGAATTTCAACAGTACATTTGACATGGCTTTGAAAGGTCTTTTCTGCCCTGCTCTCCACACTGATATGCTTGATGAGACTACGTGATGCTAACAGAAGACAAAACAGACCATCATACCGGCAAAAGGGTAAGTTGAATAGTGCAGTGCGCGCTATCACACAGTGGCGCGCAGTCCACGGATACGCCATACCAATCATTAAGCGATGCGAATATTGGCCGACCCGTACATGCGTCAGTAAGACACCTAAAATAGCCAAAGGCAGCATTTTCTGAAACGGCCCCAAATATGACATGTGACGTGCCTCAACTGAGACAAATCGCGTGGTAATAACTGGAAAGCCGAGGAGCTCAGTTTGTTGTGACCAATATTCACCTAACATATTTGCGTTTTTCCCAATGCGTTTGTTAAGTCACTAAAAACCGAAGCTAATCCACTTTCCACTTGGACGATTAAAGCTGCCTGGCCTTGGCAGTGCCGAAGTCAGGCGACATTCCAGTGCTGCAATTTCTGAATTTGTGCGTTAACACTAAACATGAGTACATCTCTAAACTCATGCAGCTCTAAACTCCTGCTAAACCCATGAAAGGGATACATTCCAAGGTAGTGAGTGATAGCAGTCACGTCTGTTACCACCTCTGAAAGGGGTACATTCCAACGCAGTGAGTGATAGCAGTCACGTCTGTTACCACCTCTGAAAGGGGTACATTCCAACGCAGTGAGTGATGGCAGTCACGTCTGTTACCACCTCTGAAAGGGGTACATTCCAACGCAGTGAGTGATAGCAGTCACGTCTGTTAACACCTTCCCCGTCCCACACCGTAGAAGGCATATTACTGACAACTTAATATCATTGCACTTACTAACTGCAGGCCCACGTGATTTTCAGCAAACAAGTGTAGACTTTACAAGGTGTGCTACGTGAATTGTTAGGAAACATATAATTGCTGCATAATTGTACACACTTGTATATGATTGCGTACAAACTGCTTGATCATCGGGTTCTGCAACAAACGACAAAACGACAAATCAAAGTTTCAATTTTGCACCCTCATCTCTCGGATTTTTATAAATAAGGGTTGCAAGGGTTGCCAACGCCAGTGAAGACGCCTGTGACGTTTTCAGGTCTCTCAATTGAGCGGTTTCGGAGTTACAGTCTCCGGCATTTTCGTGTTGGATGGTTGAAGGACTACGTTCGGCGGCGATATTTTCACTGCGATGAAAGGAAAGCGTATGAACCTGCATGCCAAAAAGATGAAAAAGCTTCCAGACTATGTGTGTGTCGTGGTTGGATTCATCGTTCCACAATA